GTATTGTCAAGCTATTGTCTTCTTGAACGGAGCTCCGTGCTATCACATAGACGGCTTCTGCTGCTCTTCATACTATTACAAGTCGACTATCTTCACAGTATCGACAGGAATATACTATTCCAACGTCAGGGAGTCGGAGCGTGGGGCGAGTCATACAGTAGCCATTACGACTGCACGTTCTCAGGTATCCTATCGGAGTGCTTGTAATATCATAGAAGATTCGACTGAGCACTTTATCATTCTTTCTGGACAACAGCGACCGTTAACAAGAACTCTCCGGAGCACTCCTCCCAGGCCCAACACCCATCCCAGATAAGATTAGATTAGATCCTCACCCCGCTTATCTTATCGTCCTTTCGCACCGCAAAACCCCGCGCTTTTTTCCCTCCGAATTTTCACTCCGCCTTTCTTCACACGATAGGCGTAAAGCACGCGACTAAATCAGCGCCGGTCGAAACTAACCCCAAAGTCGTTCAATCTATACCATATAGTCAGTCCTATCCACAGGGTGGCCCAAATTATCCATTTCAATCAACAATTCATCACAACACCTCAACCATCACTCCGCCCACTTCCGGCCAATCGAAAAAAAATAGTCCAAACTTAAATCCACGCCATGGAATCCTCTAGCGCAGCAGCCTGGACTACCCAAATGGACCGCATCACGGTCCTGGAACAGGACCGGTCTCTGCTTAATTTGATGACCATCATCCGGGACGTGAATACTAATGATCGGGACTTTTCCGCTGCTGTGGAGAAGGTTGTGCGCCGGTTGATTACGGCCGGTAAGTATTACTCCATATCCAATCATCTATCAATTATCGGGATGACGGCTTAAGTAGATGTATAGCATTGGGTCATGTCCCCGCAGAAGAATACACTGTTACTACCCCGATCAACAAACCCTACACCGGAATCCGGTTCACGAAGGGGGTTTGCGGTGTCAGTATCCTCCGCGCCGGTGCTTGTATGGAACAGGCGCTGCGGGATACTTGGACGTGAGTGTTTCCTTTCTGTATCTGGAGAGTGTTCAAGTGTGCTGAATAAGCATGCGCAGTGGACCACTTAGTTTTGGTAAGCTGCTCATCCAGCGCGATGAGGAGACTAGCATCGCCAAGATTTATTACTCGAAGTTGCCGGCGGGGATTACGGATGATAGTATGTCTTATCTTTTCTTGTGGTGGTTTGTTGGTTGGCAGGAAAGGAGAACCCACTAACAATGATCTAGTCGTCCTGCTCCTGGAACCCATGCTTGCGACCGGCGGCTCTGTGATCAAAGCCGTCGAGAACTTGACGAGCAATGGTGTTCCCGAGGAATCTATTGTTCTTGTTAATGTGGTGTCGTCGCAGAAGGGGCTGGATGTTATTTCTGGCAGGTTTCCGGGTCTGAAGGTTGTTGCTGCGGCGGTGGATGCGGAGTTGACTGCTCAGAAGTAAGTGTGCTTATTTGATTTGAGTAGATCGGTTGCTGACTTTGCTTTAGCTACATTAGTCCTGGTCTGGGAGACTTTGGTGATAGGTACTATGGAACGACTCATTAAGAGGTGGGATTGGGTTCGCTATAGGGTTTAGATTATCTATTGAGGTGTACAGGTGACGGGTTGGTTCTTAAAATCCCGGGGATTTGTAAATATCTTTCGCTTTATATAAGGGAATGGCTACTTTATTGATAAGATTGTCATTTTGAGCCGTGTCTGGGCGTATGGTGCTGTTTGGCAGGCTACTTTCTGGACCATGTTTGACCTTGAGCAGTTGACTTAGAATATGTGTGAGGGCCTCCTGATGTCTAGAATTGTCTGTAATGCCAAAACATCGATTCCGGTTTCATACGGTCAACTGATACAGGGGATCAAAGGGCGAGAGAAGGGTACAGACTGTATCTCATTTGGCAAGAGCGAAGGTGCGAATGTAAGTCTTCACGATCTTGTACAATTCTATTACGATTATGTCCTAATCAAATGCTGTCCCATAAAGCCTATCCCCAATATCCCCAACTCCAGGCTGAACATATCCTTTCGCATCCACTTCGGGATCAACTGCACCCACCACAAATCGGCTACCCTCGGGCCACACGGCAGCTGCATGCCCCAACCCAACCGGAGTAGACAGCATAGTAAGAAATGTAACCTTTTCGATTCCCCAATCCCTGGGATTATTAGTAACTTTCTGAAATTACAATACTCCAGAAACTCACTTTAATATACTGATAACTGCAGCGGCTGTACCGCCCGTGGCAATCAAGGGATCCAAAATATAAGCCTGCTTGATGTGCGCCGGCTTCACAGGTAGCTTATTGTAGTACTCAACCGGCTGCAACGACGCCTGGTCTCTGAAAATGCCCATGTGATAGACAGTTGTCGACACATCTTCAGGGATGTTGTCCACGAAACCATCGAACATGGCGAGACCGGAGCGTAGCACCACGATGATAGCTATCGTTTCATCTTTGGGTACGTCGATGTGCAGGCTCTTTGTCATGGTTGCTGTCATGTCGCGCACTAGGCTGCGTACTTTGGAGGGCTTGAGGGATCGATCCCTGAGTTGTGAGAGAAGGGATGTGAAAGTATCATTTTGAGGTTGATCAACATTGGCGGGTAGTGTGACTGTCATGATGGATACAGTGGGTTGGTATTGATGCAACGAGAAGAGAAATGAATGGGAATTAATGCCTGACGTGTAATGTAGTGGAAATATCCTGCTATAAATACGTTGGCTTTGTTAAAATATAGAATGATATGATCACTGTGGCATCCATCCTCCGATCTCATAGTTAGGTCCGCCCATCTTCACAAAGCGGTTATCGTCGCTGGTATCAGATAAGATACCGTATCAGCCGAGGCGATAAGCGCCTTCCCCGCTTTGTTGTGCTCATCCCCTCATCCAGTGTAACGTTCTTTGTTGACAACACATCTATCTTCTTTTTGCCTCGAGAAGAGAAGTGCTCAAATCCACCCGAAACCTGGATTACCTGGTCAAGGAAACACGATGGACTCCAATACCCGACACTTGCTTCGTCTGGAAGCCGTACGCGAGAGAGCCAATATCGTCTTCCGCCTCGCTGAACAAGGAAAGCTGCACCACTACGACTACCACCCTGAGCGTCTCGATGCGACCGTGGACTACGTTGCAGGCATAATCCAGGTAAGTAGCCTCTCATACATTCATAAATCATCCCTAACCATCTACTCAGCGCGACTTCGGCCCGGACCGCTACGACCAAATCCCTCCCCACGGTCGCTGGCAGCACTTCGACGTAGGCGGCGTGCCTCGAATCCAGAAACTGATCGAGCGATGGGATGCATCCGGATATGATGATAAAGAGAAAGTCAGAAGTCTGTTGGATCTATTTTTCGTCTCCGTGCTTCTCGATGCCGGTGCGGGAGATACTTGGCGTTACGTGGAGAAAGAAACCGGGGCCGTCTTCACCCGGAGCGAGGGTATCGCGGTCGCATCACTGTATATGTTCTTGAACGGTGACTTTGCCAACACGGGATCTGAGAGAAAGGATGTGGTTCATGGTACGTGCTGTCGGCGTTGTTGGCAAGGACATGTCATTGCTCACGATGAACAATAGGAGAGGCCCTGCGGACCCTCAGTGTAGACACACTACTTCGCGGCTTTCAAGTCGATGATTCCAGCAACCCACTTCTTGGAGCTTCTGCCCGGGTCCATATTCTCCAACGACTGGGCGAGTCATTGAGAAACCTTCCAGAAATCTTTGGGCCATCTGGCCGTCCTGGGCAAATAGCAGGTCAGTTACCAGTCAACGTAATATAGTGCCCGGTAATTGATGTACTTTTTAGACTACCTCCTTGCTATGAGCAAAGGCTCCATCGACTACTTGGTTCTTTGGGATGTCCTACAGAAAACACTCATCCCCATCTGGCCATCCGACCGCACCAAAGTGAACGGTTACCCCATCGGCGACGCTTGGCCACTCGCCGTGCTCGCAGAGCAATCACCATCCTCAACTACAGACAGTATCCAACCATTCCACAAGCTCACACAGTGGCTCGCATACTCCCTGAAAGTTCCATTTGAGCGACTTCTGTCCCTAAAATGGCAGAACGCAGAGCTGGGAACCGGACTCCCGGAGTACCGTAACGGAGGATTATTCATAGACATGGGCGTATTGACGCTTAAACCCGAGGCACAGAAACGAGGACTACGGACCTCAGGAGGAAGCCTTCCGTGCTTTGCCGTTGCAGATGGAGAAATTGTAGAGTGGAGGGCTATGACTGTTGCGTTGCTGGATAAGCTACATGAACGGATTCTGCAGAGCGGCAAGTTTGGGGCTGTTCAGTTATCATTGCCGCAGATGTTGGAGGCGGGATCATGGAAAGCAGGCAGGGAGTTGGCGGCGAAGTACAGGCCTGAAACGAAGTCGAGTCCGATTTTGAACTCTGGAGATGGCACTTTGTTCTAGATGTAGCCTTGATAGTGCAATAAGAACGCTGTTCTCTTCTTATTTAATGGTATCGTAACCGGTGTACTCTATGCATCTCCACAAACTGTTCATGCCGTTTGGCTATTATACACAATCAAGAGAAGTCTTTGAACCAACTCGTTGCACATTGTCTACTACATACAAGTCACTATACAAGCCATACTGTTGCGGTAGATGTACATAGATACGTAGTACCAGAGATAAGATTAGACAAGATAAGCGGCAGCCCCCTCTTATCGGCCCCTCTTATTGGCTATCGGCCGCACCCCAGGGTCTATCATCGAGAGATCGATCGTATCTGAGCTACTATCGGAGCTATTCCATCATGGCGATGCTGATAGCTCTCTCCAGCTGTCCCCAGATAGTCAGAAAGCGGAAGTACCCTATCACCTATCCAGCACAACATCTACCCCGAAGGGCAGTCTGGACAGAAGTCAATACAAGCATATAAACCCACCACTCCCCTGTGATGACTCTCATCATCACGTCTCGTACACCATTTATCCCATCTAATTCCCTTTTTGTTGTTTTACATCACATCCACCCACCCACCATGCCAACAGCAACACAAGAACCTTCCTCCAAAACGGACGCCTACAGCAACCGCATCGTCGTACGTCCCTTCCTCTCTACCAAATCACCATTCACTCACTAACCACAACAGCTAACAACCTACCCCTCCCAAAGCGTCGCCAACCCAATCCCCCTAACCTGGGGTTCCTCAGATCCCGAAACCCGCGGTCCCGTAATCGTCTCCCGCAGCAAAAACACCCTCAGCAAGCGCAACGCGATCGGCGCCCACGGCGGCAGCTACTCCTTCTACACCGCGCTCGCCATCGCCTCAGGGGACCTGGAGCCCAACTTCCGCCCGAATTTCCTCAACACGCAGCCGACATTCAATTTCCCCTACCAAGATGCATGGGGGGACAAGAGCAAGATCGTCTCGATGGATCCGTTCGGCCATGATATTGTCAAGCACTACGGGAAGTATCTAGATGAGGGGGTCGACGTACGGCCGACCATCGCTGTGACGAGGGCGACGATGCGTGTCTCTGAAATAACGGATGCGATTGCGCGCGGTCGGGTCCCTATCGACGGGAACATCGTTCTCAATGAAGGTGGGGATGTGAAGGTCACCAAAGTAGCCGTGGAGCCCGTGTGGTATCTCCCCGGTGTGGCTGATCGGTTCGGCGTATCAGAGAAGGATCTGCGCCGGGCGTTGTTCGAACACACCGGGGGAAGTTATCCGGAGTTGATTACCAGACCTGATATGAAGGTATTTCTTCCGCCGATTGGCGGGCTGACGGTTTATATCTTTGGGCCGCCAGAACGGGTATCTGATCCGGAGATGCGACTGGCGCTGCGGATTCATGATGAGTGTAATGGGTCGGATGTGTTTCAGTCGGATATTTGTACGTGTCGGCCGTATTTGACGTTTGGGATTGAGGAGGCGATTAAGGAGGCGCAGGGGGGTGGGAGTGGAGTGGTAATTTATTTTCGAAAGGAGGGAAGGGCGCTGGGTGAGGTGGTGAAGTATTTGGTGTATAATTCGAGGAAGAGGGGTGGAGATACTGCCGATAAGTATTTTCAGAGGACGGAAAATATTGCGGGGACTAAGGATGTGAGTGTTCATTCTTTTCCTAAGAAGGTGTTGATGGTGATGCTAACGGTATTTTAGATGAGATTTCAGGCTTTGATGCCGGACATCCTGCATTGGTTGGGCATTACGAAGATTGATCGCATGCTGTCCATGTCGAATATGAAGCATGATGCGATTGTCGAGCAGGGCATTCCGATTTATGAACGTATTCCTATTCCGGATGGTGAGTTGGCCTGCATATGCTGATGGGGGGAGTTGTGGTTAACTGGGTTAGATATGATTCCGGAAGATTCGCGCGTAGAGATCGATGCGAAGATCCATTCTGGGTACTTCTCGACCGGAAAAGAGATCACAGAAGAAGACCTCAAGCAGGTTAAGGGACGTGGCTGGGAGTCTTGGGAGGATGTGACGGTGAGTCAATAAATCCATCATGAGTTCATGGGTGTTCGTTAGAGCTGACATGTCAGGTAGCACTGATTTTCATCATATACCAACTTAGGATAGATATTTCAATAAACACGATTTTGAGTTTCGGCGATGCCACGTGGTTCCCATACCCTAGGTTAATTCAACAGGACAAGAAGAATTGTTGCAGATTACGAATGAACTAATGCATAGTCATCGACCATGTGTAGCAGTAATCTCGAACACGATCGTGTGAGTATGAAGTAGCTTCTAATTGCAGATCGCACAGATTTACACAAATGGCGAAGTTATGATTGGCCAAAAAGCCCCGGCACAGAAGCACGGAAGAAGAAGCCGTGCCATGCAACCGAATCTATTTTATGTGCAAAGGAACAGCACATAGCATTGACTTCGGCATAGTAAATCAGAAATAAATATGGCCAGAATGGACCTCATCGGGCAACTTGAAGCATAGCCAAGCCAATGCTTAACCGAGCTTATACACTACATTAGCCCCAGCATAATTGTCTGCGCTGACCTCCAACCGAGGTTGGGTCCAAGCCTCCCGAGACCCAGGCGTGCCGATATCCGATCTCACCACTTCTCGGGATTTGACCATGCATATCACACGAGCAAAAATGGGTGTTAGTCCAATGCAAGACACGTATTACAAATTGCTCTGCAGCATCCATAAGCCGACTTGTAATCGAATCAATTTACCAATCACTGAGAGCATGTCTGTATGCTGCTGGGTGAGTGGCAACTCGGAGTTCCAACAGCAGAGTGGGTCGGGATGCCACACGGAATGCCCCGTTTTTTTAGTGTCTTTTCTCTAGTTTCCGGTTTCAACGCAAGCGATAGAATTTTAGTGATAAATGAGTGGTCGGCCGCATTCTTCTGCTTATCGCTGTTATTTTGCTCACTGGCTTGCCATGTGCATTGTCGTTCGTTGTTAATACCCTTTTAATGCCCCTGGCTGCGCCAGGCCTAATACCTTATGAAAGATTCCGGTCAAAAGTTCCACCAACTCTAGAAAAGTAATAGAAAAGTTCGACTAAAACATCCACAACATGGAGGACACCCTCACCAAAGGACCCCTCCCACCAGGGGTCTACCGGTCCAAAATCCCCTTCTGGCGCCTCCTCACCGACCAAGCAGCCATCACCCAAGAAGTCCTGGAATACGACTTCCCCGGCAACGGAACCGAAGACGACCCGTACGTGGTGTCTTGGATCCCGAACGACAACCGCAACCCGATGCTCTTCGGCCTGGGCCGCAAAGTCGCCATCACTCTCATCGTAGCCTCCTGCACGCTGACCGTGTCCCTCACCTCCTCCGTATACAGCGGCAGCGTCAGCGAAATCACCGCCTACTTCAACGTCAGCGATGAAGTCGCAACAATCGGTCTTTCTCTTTTCGTTCTCGGCTTCGCCGTCGGCCCCCTCCTCTGGGCCCCATTCAGTGAAGTCTTCGGGCGCCAACTCCCCTTCTTCTTCAGCTGCATGGGCATGGCCGCTTTCTCAGCGGGTTGTGCCGGCGCCCAGAATATCTGGACGCTCTGCATTCTGCGATTCTTCGCCGGTGCGTTCGGTTCCGCTCCTTTCACGAACGCAGGCGGTACCATCTCCGATATGTTCACCGCGCGGCAGCGCGGCTTAGCGCTGAGTTTATACGCCGCGGCGCCGTTCCTCGGTCCTGCGATCGGGCCCATCATCGGTGGGTTCCTGGGCATGAGCGCCGGATGGCGCTGGGTAGAGGGGTTCCTGGCTGCGTTGGCTGGGTTTATCTGGCTGCTCATGGCGGTTTCTATCCCTGAGACGTATGCCCCGCGACTGTTGCGACTTCGCGCGGATAGGCTCTCGCAGCTGACGGGGCGGGTTTATCGGAGTAAGATTGAGTTGGATAAGGGGACGGTTTCTTTGCCGAGGTTGTTGAAGACGACGATGTCTCGGCCGTGGGTGTTGTTGTTTCGTGAGCCGATTGTGCTGTTGTTCGCACTGTACATTGCCATTGTGTATGGGACGCTGTACATGTTCTTCGCTGCGTTCCCGATTGTGTATGAGGATGTGCGCGGGTGGAATCCTGGTGTGGGCGGGTTAGCTTTCCTGGGCATTGCGGTGGGGATGATACTGGGGTGTGCGTGCACGATCCCCGCTAATCTGCATTACATCAAGGTGCAGGAAAAACATGGAGGGTTTGCGCCACCGGAGACGCGACTTATCCAGTGTATGCCTGGGGCGTTGGCGATCCCTATCAGTCAGTTCTGGTTCGCGTGGACGGATTATCCGTCTATCCATTGGATCGTGAGTATTATTGCGACGGCACCGTTCGGGTTCGGGGTGATTTTGATATACCTTGGGGTTATGAATTATCTGATTGATTCGTATACCATCTATGCGGCGTCGGTGTTGGCTGCGAATACGGTGCTACGGTCGATCTTTGGTGCGGTGTTCCCAATTATTGCGCCGTATATGTATGATGGAGTGGGCATACATTGGGCACCGTCGATTCCAGCGTTTCTCTCGCTGTTGTGTATGCCTGCGCCGTTTCTATTCTATAAGTATGGTGCGGTTATTCGAACGCATTGCAAGTATTCGGCGGAGTCGGATCGCTATATGCGCAAGTTGCAGGAAAGTACGAAGCGCAAGTCGGAGGTGGTGGAAAAGGAGAGACCCGTCAAGGATGAGCCTATGGTGCCGGCGGATGGAGAGCCGGGGATGTCACAGGCTGCAGAGCAGAAGTGAGTACATAGACATATAGATTTAGAGTATATACAGATATAGAGATACCATAATATGAGATTTGAGTTGCATGCATATGAAATAGATGTGAGCTTAAGTGCGGTCGGGGGAAAAGATTAATCTTGTTGGCTGCCAGGGTGTGAATTGAATTTGTTTCATGCAACTTTGACAAAGTCAGTATTTTGGATTTAACTTGCACCGGGTTCTCTGCATGCATGATGGAGTGTCTACAGAATATCTCTGAGCCTCACTTTCTACGAAGATGACCAATTTGGATCGTGTAATAGCTGGCACCGCTGATTATGATAAGCACTCACAGTCACATCTACTCATCATAAATTCAAATTGTACTATGACAGAAGTAACCGATCGGCACCAGCTGGACCACCGAAGATCGCCATCCTATGACACTGACATGAAGCCCTATCCTGTCAACCAAGACCAGAGAACCAGCTTATCGAACTCTAAATCACCACCATCTCCTCCAGTCCCGCTCAACGAAGCTTCTCCCCGATAAGCCTCCACGAACAAGTAGCCACGAGAACAATAGCCATGATAGATCAACACAATAGTGTCATTGACGGAGTCACGCACAGGCATCATGATCCCCCACACCGTCAATGAACAGATGTTCCCCGGCAATTGAGATGATAAGGTGTTCGGGGATGCAGGGATATCCCGGGTTCATTCATGCTAGACACAAACCAACTAGCCAATTACCACGCTACACCCTCTCAGGTACTAGTTATCCCTTGAATGGCAGCCGAGTTCACCGCGGAGATGTCGACATGCCAGTCTCAGTCCTGATAAGATGCGAAGCTGTGACTCGTCCGGGCCGGTCTTGGCAAGAACCCCAGCGGGACCCTCGACATGCTGGGGCTGAACTCTATTCAGCCTGAATCTGAGCATTCGATGTCGATCCGATAAGAAGTATACACGCTATGTGATTGGTCCTAACTGTTTGTTTTTGCTCTACGCAGTGCTTCGGTGGTGTATATAGGGCTGTGTGGTCTTCACTTCCCCACGTAGGTCAGTCGAAATACCTCAGCACACCACTACACACTAGATACATACCCTCACCATGTCTATCAGTATAGACGCATACACCCCCACGGAGGTAATCAACCTCGTCGCCCGAGCAGGTATCGTCAAGGGTAATACCCGTCTCGACAAGGTCTTCCTCAGCTCCGTCTCCGCAGGATGTCTACTTGCCTTGGCATGCGGAACCGCTCTGAGCACGAACACGAGTACCTGGTTCCAGGAGAATGCGCCGGGGTTGATTCGCACGATTAGTGCATTGGTGTTCCCGTATGGATTGTGCATGATCATCCTGACAGGGGCGGATTTGTGCACGGGATCTTTCATGGTGTGTCTATCTTCTTACTCCCCAATTCCAAAGAGTGTAGCACTGATGATAGATACCAGTTCACAACGGTCGCAGCCTTACAGCGCCAACTCCCTTGGTGGAAGATGCTGCTCCACTGGTTCATCACATTCTGGGGAAATCTCTGCGGATCGCTATTTGTCGTGGCGATTATCTTTGGCTGTACTTCCCCCTTCCTTTCTCTCCCCAAATTCATATTTCTAACCATGTCCAGACGGCGAAATCTTCTCCGCAGACCCCTACAAAAGCGAAGTCATCTCCTTCGCGACCAAGAAACAAGTAACTCCGCACTTCCAACAAATCTTCCTCCGCGGCATCGGCTGCAACTGGCTCGTATGTCTGGCCTGTTTCTTCGGACTACAGGGCCGTGACCTCGCGTCAAAGATCATGGGCATCTGGTGGCCGATCTTCGCGTTCGTGTCGCTGGGATTCGATCACGTCGTGGCAAATATGACCTTCATTCCATTGGCCATTTGGTTGGATGCGCCGGATATCACGGTGGGGTTGTATGTGTGGAAGGGGATTATCCCGACCTTGTTGGGGAATATTATCGGCGGTGGGCTGTTCGTAGGAACGTACTACTGGTATATGTATCTCCTGCAGGGGGAGAGTATTACTCTGGCGGGGTTGAGGAGGCAGGGTATGGCTGGTACTTCGGCGACGGGGACGCCTGCAACGGCGGGTGGGAAGGATGATGTTGAGGCGATGGCGGGGGCGGTTTGAGTTCTTCTGCTGAGGATTGTGGGTTATGTATAATGTGTTGGATGGGTAGGTGTGTTGGAGGAGGTAGTGATAATAATAGTAATTGCTAATTCAAGCTTATGTGTCTGCCTTACAACACATCGGTTGACAAATCAGTGTGGAGGCAATACACGCCACGATCAATATATGCCAGGACCAAACTGAGTCTGCATCGTATACTGACTAGCAGTGTATATCCTTGCGGTGATCAGGCGTCCATCTTGGCCTCAGTGTAATTATCTCCCATCCTCCCGAACTGACAGTCCATCGGTACTGATCCATTGAACTCAGTTGGAATCTAGGGGGTTTATCATTTGGAAGGGTGAGAGGTGGTTTAATCCGATGATGAGACAGATGGATGCACTTAGGGAGTATGTGGCGCCGTTGGAGTTCGTGTTTGATCTGCATATAAGGACGGGGAAGGAGAAAACTGGAGAAGGTGGCAGAGAAGCAAGAGGTGTGGTTCACGCAGAGACAGAATCGGGTGCTTGTCCGGAGACATGCACGGGCTGTGAAGGGAATTGAAGAGCAGGGTTGCTAAGAAGGAGGTACTTGAGAAGATGGAGGGGGTGGAGGGAGAGATGGTGGTTAGGGAAGAGGGAGGCGACGATCGCGCAGAAGGTGATATGAATAATCATTATAGCGGATGATGGAGTGGAATATTCTACTGGTCTATCTAATGTTGATGAATAATAATATACATAGCTTTTGGTTCTTCTGCCGCTGCTGCTACAGCACGTAGCGGAAAAACGGGTTCTGCTTGTCCGTCAGATCCTGGAAGGCCAGTTTGTCACGCTGGCTCTCGTCCAGATCCATGGCGTCGCGACGCCGGTTCTCACGCCACAAGACAACGTACAATGCGACCGCTGCGGCGATGGTGATACAGTAGCAAATCACCATTCCCTCCCATAGCTCGGGGTAGTGCTGGTCGACGGTTTTGCTGTTCACTAGCTGCGGCCCGATGATGTTGCCCACAGTGTAGGCGACGAAGACGGTGGCCGCCATGACGGTTTTCTTGGTCGCGCCGGCGACGTTGCTAGCGCCGAGGGTGATGATAAGGCTTACCACAGGTCCGAAGAAGCCGGTGATGGCGTATCCGGCAACTGGAACTGCCGGGTGGTATCCCCATTCGGACTTCCAGATCATCACGCAGCCGGCGATGACGGGGAGACAGCAGGCGATGAGCATGGGGATGCGTGTGTTCGGGACGCGCATGCCGATATAGCCGCAGAGAGGGATGAAGATGAGGCAGACGCCACCCACAGGGAACTGGAACAGGATGGAGTCGAGGGTGTTGTAGCCAAAGGTTGATACGATCAGGGGGCCGAATCCGGAAATGGCGCCGTTGATAGTATAACTAGGATGTATTAGCGACGCTTATCAGGTTTGGGGGACTACTCACGCTGCAGCCATCATAATAGCAATCAAATACAATTTGATATCCAGGAACGACTCCACAATTTGATCTCTCTTGATTACCTGGCATCGCACACCGGTCTGTCCCCGACGCAGGCGCTCCACGGCCACGACCCTCTCCTCATGAGTCAGGAACCACGCCTCGACGGGGGAGTTAGGCATGAAGCAGCACCAAATCCCAAATAGAAAGGTCAGCACACCGGCGAAGATGTAGATATACTGCCAAGACTTGAGGCTCCCAGAATCAATCTGTCCAAACGCATAATTGAGAGCGCTTCCGATAATGGTGAACCATCCGGTACCGGAGAACCACCATGCCTGTCGCAGACTCTGCTCGTCCTGCGTGTAATATCCACTAACAACCGTCATGAAACCGGTAGGAATGACACTCTCAACGAAGCCTATATAGTCAGTAACTTATGACATGTGAATGTAGAGCAGGAGGAATACCGAGGAAAAAGCGCTGCACAAATAACCCCTGCCACGAGGTTACTCCCGCCGTCGCAGCACAAGTAATAGCCCACAGCATCACGACCGGACCCAGGACGTGCTGAATGCGAAACCGCTGCAGGACAAAGGTCATGGGGTACAACCCGGCCATCATACCAAAGTAGAAGATGGAGGTGGCCCAGCTGAGACGGGAGGTATCCTTGGTGGCAGGCGAAGTAGAGTAATCCATGACCTGGAGCTGCAGATCGGTTGTCATACCGAATAGTGATGCACTTCCAAGGATGGCCTACAAACAATAGCTCTAGTTAATTGACGGAGACATATCAAGCCGGGTTATAATCAAGACGAACCTTATCCCAGTAAACAAATCCATATCCTATAATTCACAAGTCAACAATATGCTACATTACCCATCTAACTAATCATCTCGAACAAGATAACCACCAAAGATATCAATGAAGAAGATAGAATGACGAACCAATCAACATAGCAGGCATAAAGAATGCATCAATCTTGCGCAGCACCCTCTTCTCCACGGCGGGGTCAATCTCCCCCGCCTCTTCACTGACTATGGCCCAAGCGACATCTTTGTCCGCGGGAGCAGTCGCAGACGCAGCTATTGTCTGCGATTCAACCTGAATCATGATTTCGGACGTGTAAAATGCAGCTGGGGGATGCAGTGGTGGTGAGTGAAAATTTCGATGGCGGGATGGAAAGACGCGTAGATCCTGCCCTTGGTGGGTTGGGTTGATTAGATTATCTGGCCCGCGTGGGTTTAGTTTTTTAAGCTTTCGGGTAGTTCAATGCCATTGTCTGTCTGTCTGTCTGTCTTGTCTGTCTGGCAGCCGGGGATTATGACGGTCGCAGTATTGAGTTGAAGATGGAGGATTGTCAACTATGTGATTGGATTAATGCTTAGTGTTTTGCTTGGTGAATATTCATCAATGGTGCTGAAGAATAGTATTGTTGCTCTTTGTTCGCGTTGAGGCAAGAGTAGCAATACACAGCAGAGAGAGAAATGTTGGCGGAGGACTGTGCTCCGTGCGCACAACAATAAAGTTCGTTGACAGGTACTGGTTAGTACCATCTACATTTCATTTCAGACACAGTTGGACAACTGGTGAGTTCAGTGGAATGGACACCCATGCGAAGGGTACAAATGTAGTTGTTTATTCAGCATGTCTGATATTTATTATGTAGTGCTACCTGTAGCATTACATAAGTGTAATGAACTCGGACGCTGAATAATAGTAGGTAGGCAGGCAGGCGGCAAGGTTCATCTACTAGGGGTACAGGATATATATATATATATATATACCATCGAAATATATTTCCGTACTACTCTAGCTGCATAGCACTCGAGTGGAGGCATCTGACCACTACCAGATAAGACCCAGCTTCGGGATTGAAATAGGCAGGAGAACCCGGAGACAATCAGATGATAGTGGAGAGGGTCATTTGTCCCCCAAGCCCCTAACAGACCCATCGAGCGAAGGCTAAAAGTAGGAGGGCGATGTAACAATGCGACCCATTCACCGACAGCACTTCTTCGTACAAAGTAAACGATGCAAATCTATTTTAATCCTTGACAAGGCATTTCTGAACGAAATAAAGAAGGAAAAAAAATCCCGCGTACCAATCTCCAAAGGGGGGGGGCGGGTGGTGGGGTGTTACACTTCTCAAACCCCGCGACACCAATTGTATGAGTCCTCATGCAAGCTGGATTTGAACCAGATCCCGAAGTATCCGCTTGCCCGACACAATGACGTAGCAGATGAAGCATCACGGAAACCAATTCCTGGCAGGGGAGTAGCATCGCAGTGGGGATGGCCAGCTCCGACGGATCGTAGAAATTTAGCCCGCAACTTGATCGTTGGCGCTGTTTGGTATGATTGGCGAATCGCCTCCGACCGCCTTGGATTCGATCCTCAGGCGGACACTGTGGAAGGGGAAGGAAGTGGAAGAATACACCTCACAGCACATCAGACCACTCCAACAAGGTTGAATTAATCTCTCAGGAATGCCGGAAAGTAGGTGTGCGTAGTTGCAATGCATTGCCAAGCAATCTAATGTGGGCTGGACTGGTGTGATGGTGTTGCTTGTTCGTTCTTTGCTTGACCCTCGGCTACTCGTCAGCACCACGATGAAACCACCAGTGATCGGTGCAAGGCCTGTCTGGCAATTATGATGCCTTCAAACGCCCTAGATTCTTGTTCACACGTGACAGTAAACAGTCGATAATCATTGTGCTAGAACCCCAATGCCTCTCTCCCCATCCGTAGGAGCTCACAGCGACAAACGCAGTGACCCACGGTAGTCTGTGTGAACGCACGGACAACGTGGGATGAATTAGGTGGAACATCTCGGATGAAGCAAGGCAGGGCTAGCTGCGGAGCACAGCATAAACCGGAAAGTTACACTGTCGAGGAGAGAGAGAGTCTCCACCGGAAAAAGATGCCGACCGCTAATTTCGCGTTGCGAATTGAAGGCGGAAGAAATTTCCGGGCGCCAGGCAACGGAGACACGTCACATGTCGATCGCTATTATTATTCCACACTCCACGTCTCCAAGACATTCCATCGGGGCCAAGTTTCACACCGGCAGACACCGAATCCCGAGATATGGGCGGGAAGGCTATACTGGGATAGTGCTATCCAGAAAGGGAAAATGTACGCAGGGAATCATGTAACACATTTTGATCTAGAATTAGTGGTAATGGTTCATTACTTCGTCACGGATTTGTCAAAGATATGAGGGTTCGAATACGGGTGGCTGGGTGATGCCATCCTCAGTCAGCCGAGCTGCCTCGCTTCGAATCGGACTCCGACGCGGCCGAACCCTGGTTCGTCTGCGAGAGACTCAACCCATCCCATTTCGCCAGGAATTGGTCCATATCCACGTCCCCCTGGCGCGCTGGTCCTTGCTGCACTACCGAGCTAAAGTGCGGGTAGAAGCTGCTGAATTCCTCGGCGTCGCGCTGCTTCCAGCCCAGCGTCTCGAAGTCGGTAAACAGCGCATCGGTCTCGTCGGGGAGAGCCACCTCCGTCTGCGTCGCGGAGAGCTGAATCATCCGTAGAATACCCTTGGCGAGAGGGAAGCGCCGTGAGAACGCCCGGGCGATGACGCACAGCTCAACGAAGGCATTGCGGTTGTCTGTAGAGTCCAACGCCTCCATGAGGGTAAACATGCCGATGCTGCACCACTGAATGGTCGACGGCGCCATCCGGTCGATGCCCCACTTGTCGCGATGAACTCGCAGCAGCGCTGCCACCCGGCGCGCCGACGAGAGGCAGAGTTGCCGTGCATGTGCGGCTGTGGACACATCCAGAGCCACTTCACGGTTAGATCGGAGAAACCCAAAGATCTGCATGACGGTGGTATGGTAAAACATACTACGGTGGGGGCGAATCAGCACACCGCGTCGCACACAAGAAGGAGGCATCCTGTGAAGGGGAGAGGCAAAGACACTCACTGGATACTCAAAACGTGGGGGACAGTCGCCACATCCGCATTTAAGCACGGTGGCAAACGAGCGTACCACTCCTGGAGCTGTTTGTAGATGCCATCAACAAACCCGATCATCTGCGATGGGGCAACAAGGTGCTCGGGGTCATGTAATCCCTGGCTGATCTGCATCATGATGCAGCAAAAGTCGCACCATCGATCGAAAACACAATTGTGATGCCCACGGACGGCGTCCACCTCTCGCGGGTACGGGTACCATAGGTCGTCCGGGTCGCCGTGGGTGACGGGGATGCGTGGACGCTGCGGGGGGTTGACGTTGATATGCTTCATCAACGAAACTGTCGCCGTCCTGCCACCAATCCCAGTTAGTAAATGCTCCTGTTATCCAGACGGGGTTTCACTTACGAAGCAATGTTGAAGGCTCCCCAGAGAGTCCTATTCACGGCCTCTTCGAACGCAGGGTCTGCCTCCTGGCCGGCTATCCCAGGAGGATGGCGTTCCGCATACTCCTCCGCCCCCCGGATAGCTAGATCCAGATACATCCAACCCAATCGGTCCTTGCCCATCAGGACCATCCTGCAAGTCCAACACTATCAGCATGGCCCACATTGCATGCAGCTTCACACACCTACCGGACAAATAGAACCAATAGACCTTGGATAGTTGGTATTGTAGCTCCTCCCTCCTCTTCTTCCAGGAGCCGACGGGCTTCTTCGTAGAAATGATCGCCCCGCGTGAGCGTGTCGTTGGGAACGGTGAACACCTCAGCATAGTCAGAGTAGTACTAGAATCAGCATCACGTTAGTTAGTTAGTCCTGCGGTGAATGGTACACGTGCAAAAGATCGGGTCCACCTACACAAGCCTCCGAGAGAATGGCATTGACCAAAAAGCGGGAACAGAACCGGCAGTCGAGATTGCCGGCCCGCATGTCCCGTAGAAAAGCATCCTTATCCAGCCAGTGGAAGAACGGATAGGTCCAGGTCAACCACAGCGAAACGAGGTGAGATACCAGGTCACCGTCGTCAGTGACCGTTGTCCATGGCTTCGCAGGAACTTGATGAACGGGATTATCGGCGAGACGGCGGACATCCAGAACGCGGCGGGAGGATCGGGGTTGCGAAGGCGGTTGCGCCTCCTCATCATCGTCGGAGGGGCGAGATATTTGGCTCTGGATCTCGCGCAGTTCTGGGGTCAATTCGATTTCGCGCCCAGTAAATTGTTGCTCCAGAAAGATTTGGAGCTCCTCGAAGGAGGCATTACTTCGGATGAGATTCAAGAGCTGGGCGAGACGTTTGCTCTCACTTTCGCGGAGCGCGTCAATGAGTCGCAGTAGCGTCTCTTCCGCTTGTTCGAGACGGTCCAATTTCCGCTTCATGGCGTATTTGCGGCGCATGTCAGCCATCTCGTCGACCAAGCACGGAATGCCGTTTGCCACGCAGTGTTGACATGGTGGATCACCTCTGCACTTGAGGGGATCAGCCGACGAACAGGGACACGATGTGATGGTACGAAGATACCAATGACAACGGGCTTAATGAAGAAATCACACCTTGAGCTTCTTCTGTTTACACGCCTTGCAGGCGGTGGTCTTGTGCTTGCGACCCTGAATTACATTGTCCGCCACCTTGGCAGTTGGGGGCTGGCCAGGAGCGGGTGCTAGAAAGCGGGAGGAGGAGGATTGCGAGTCGGACATATATGACGATGATAGGAACAACAAGACGACCACACGGAGGGGAGGTCGCCCTGAGAAGAGAAGAAGGACAAAAGGCGAAGAGATGAAGAGGGCGGCGACCCGAGGGAACGGATACAGGGAGTTTCAATGGGGGGTGGGGGTTCGGTTGGCGGGAGGAGCTGGCAATAGTGTTGTTGTGGGAATAATGATGGGATTGGCCGTCTAATTAGTTTGTTGAGTGGTTGACAAATGGTAAACTAAGCCAGATACCGGGAAAAGAAGGCAAGAGAAAGGGCGACAATGGTGAATCAAAAGGTTATTCAGCAAGAGCTGCCAGTAGTAGTAGTAACAATGAACGTGTTGCTACTGTTCTAAAGGCCGAATTTTATATATGGAGCCGGAGGCCCAATTGTTAAAGGATTTGCTTTTCCGGGCCTAATTCTATGGCTGCATCGGGAGCCAAGTGGAAGGATAAAAATAAAATAAAATCAGAGGTCAAAATTGAC